AGGAAGGAAGGAAGGAAGGAAGGAAGGAAGGAAGGAAGGAAGGAAGGGCAATAGCAATAGCCTTTAAGACTTAATATACCACTTTACAGCCCTCTCTAAGCAGTTTACAGAATCAGCCCCCAACAATCTGGGTCCTCATTTTACCCACCTCAGAAGGATGGAAGGCTGAATCAACCTTGAGACAGTCAGGATTGAACAGTTGGCACAAGGAAGGAAGGGAAGGGAAGGGAAGGACAGTAGCAATAGCCCTCAGACTTAATATACCGCTTTACAGTGCTTTACAGCCTTCTCTAAGCAGTTTGCAGAGTCAACATATTTCTCTCAGTAATCTGGGTCCTCGTTTTACCCACCTTGGAAGGATGGAAGGCTAAGTCAACCTTGAACCTGGTGAGATTCAAACTGCCAAATTGCAGGCAGTCAGCAGACATAGCCTGCAGTACTGCATTCTAACCACTGCGCCACCATGGCTCTTACAAGCTTTTATGGACGCTGCCACGGCTTTTAACCGCGCTGGAGAGCCCTGCAGGTTTCCTTGTCTGAACGGCGTCATTGCAATGGCTGCTGCATCCTCCATTTTCAAGGCCCTCCAAATATCTGGGGGAAGCCTCCCCCCTCCCCCCAGCGGTACTGAGCTGTCCCCAGGGAAGAGGGAGCCACACAGGACCACTGTCCTCTGGGCATCATCCTTTCGCAGCGCATGGCAGCCATAACTCTTGGGTGGGCACAAAGAGGTTGTCAGCACGCTGGGATGGATCGCGGGCAAGTGAATCGAAGCACTGTTTGGCTTGAATTCCCCCCTCTGTGGGAGCGATTTCAAAGGCCTTTCTCCCCACTCCCAAACCCACTCTTCTGGGTTATTTTCCCCTCTTTTTATTTTCCTAAAGCAGCCTTTTGTCTCCCCCCCCCCCCAAAAAAAGACTCCCCCTGAGGAGAGGAGGTTAAGCTGTACCACATTGATTCTGATATCTATCTAATCTATTTTATCCATCTATCTATCTTATCTTATCCTATCCTATCCTATCCTATCTTATATCTACCTACCTATCTTATCTATCTTATCTTAACTTATATCTAATTACCTATCTTATCTTATCTTATTTTATCTTATCTTATCTTATCTTATATCTACCTACCTACCTTATCTATCTATCTATCTAATCGTAACTTATATCTAACTACCTATCTTATCTGTCTGTCT